ATTGTAGAAAGCCCACAAAAAAATACAGCCCGGGATAAAGTACAAATTACAGATTGATCTCTAAATCTTCATGAGAATGCAAAGGAAATGTAATAAATATGAAAACACTTTTTATTTTAGTTTAGTTTATCCTCATCCGAGGAAATTTTTGCATTTTATCTTCAGATAGAGCAGGAGAAAGAGAGAAACATCGACGTAAAAGAGACACAGCGAGTGGTCGCCACCCACATGACCCCAACCAGGGCTGGGGACAAACTGCAACCAAGGTACATGCCCTTAGCGGAAACCGAACCCAGGACTCTCTGGTCCGCGGGCCAACGCTCTAATGGCTAAGCCAAACCGGCCAGGGCTGAAAACACTTTTTAAAAAAGCACCCAACTTAATGAAGATAAAGGTTAAAATGGGATAAATGATCCTACTATCTCAGGTCATTATAATACTGTAGTAGGCAGAATTCTAAGATGGCCCCATGATCTCCAGGTGTGCCATCTATATAATCCCCTCCTCATGAGTGTGTGGTGGGGGGTGGGGACGTGTAACAACATTCTTCTTACCAAAAGAATGTATGGCAAAAGTGATGGGACACTGCTCCCTTGATCAGGTTATATGGCAATGGTGATACGGTGTCACGCCCATGACTATAAAGACTGTCTTAGCAATGGGAGAAAGAAACCCCTTTGCTGACTTTGAGGAAGCAAGCTGCCATGCTGGGAAACAGCCTACAGAAAAGTCAGGTAACAAAAAACTGCAGCCAGTCCCTAGGATCTGAGAGCAGCCTCCATCTAAAAGCCAGCAAGAAAGCAGATAGCTCAGGCCTACAGTTGAAAGACAAATTCTGCCAACAACATTAAGAGCTTGGAAATTAATCTTACCCAGTTGAGTCTCTGATGAGACCAAAGCCCTAGCTAACATATGCATTGCAGCTATATAGACCCTGAGCAGAGGACCCAGCTAGGCTGTACCCATACTCCTGATTTATAGAAACTCAGATATAATATATGTATTGTTCTGAACTACTAAGTTTGTGGTAATTTGTTATGCTATAATAAAAAACTAGCACAAATGCATAGGATAAGGTTTTTTTTACTTTTCAAGCAGTATTGCCCATAATTTTATCAACAAATACTCAACAGCTTCACTCCATTAGACATTCATAAGTTGACATGCTTTTTTTTTTTTTATTCAACTGTTGGTAGACACGTACTTATTGTCATTTTATTGTTCATGTTTTTTTATCCTTTTTTTCTTCTTTTTTTTTTATCCTCACCCGAGGACATTTTTCCATTTTTTTTTTCAGGTAGAGTGAGAGGGAAAGAGAGGAACAGAGAGAGAGAGAGAAACATCGATGTGAAAGGAACACATCGAGTGGCCGCCACCCACACAACCGACCAGGGCCGGGGACAAACTGCAACCGAGGTACGCGCCCTTAGCGGGAACCGAACCCGGGTCTCTCAGGACCGCAGGCCGACACTCTAACCGCTGAGCCAAACCGGCCAGGGCATAAGTTGACATGCTTTAACAACAAAAAAGAAAATCAGGAATTAAGGATAACATTAATACTTAAAAAAAAAAAAAAAAACTCACAAAAGGTACAGCGCACTTTCGTACATGGCCAAACTGTGCAAAGTGTTCTCTCAGCTCACCTGTATAGGAAAACATTAAAAGTAGTTAATGCATTTTTGTATCCTCCATTCTAGATTGCAGATAGAAATTAAAAGGGGTCCCAGAAGCCCCAAACTTCTTGTGAACAGGAGCTACTTTGCATTTCCTGAAGACTTAAGATTTAGGAGGCAGCTAAGGTACTGACTATAAAGATATAATATACCAGACTTGGGGAGATGATGGGGTGGGGACATAGATAAAATTGCTGAGTTGACTGCAGTCTTTATCCCCAGCAAATATTGAGTGTCTTCATCATACCAGGTACTGTGCTAAGGTGCATGAATTATAATCCCTATAAGAAGATCACATAGAAGACAATTACAATACAGTGTTGCTAGCTATGTTAGAGATTTCCAAATAAAATCTCATTACTTGCCTTTCATAATTTAAAGTTTACACTAAGTTAAATAGTTGGTTTTCTAAAATTTGTTGAGTTGGCCCTACCTACCCTTCCTGCCTTATTTCCCTTCCCTCTGCTGTACAGCAAATGAAATTCTGTGTATGTGTCCTGTGGATTCCCATCTTTGCATGTCATTCTTTCTCCTTGACATATCAATAATCCTATCTCCTCCTGCCTAAACTGTAACTACCCTTCAAGACCCAGGCCAAATACATTCACTGAATATTCTTTTATTGGGCTTCTGCAATACAAGACAACACACTGGCCCTATGAGGGCTCAAAGATGAACAGTGGATAATGTTAAAGACTGAAAAACTACATGATTGCTTTCTCTTCTGAACTACAGTGCTTGTACTATCTAATTTGCAGTCGTATTGCTTATTTCCTCTAATTCATTTAACCTCATTGGTTCAACAACTGCCTACATTTGTTGTTTGTAAGTCTCCTCACCTCCACCACTACAGTGTAAGCTCCTAGTGCTGAGTCCGCTATGTCCACAGTGACTGATACATAGTCAGGCAGTATTTGCTAAATGAATAAACATCTAGTAATTCTTCAACAACCCACAGGGACTAAATTTCTGAAGAGCTCTAATAGTTGGTCAAACCAGTTGGCAAGATCAGAATCTCACAGAAGATGTTACTGGAAGATAAACAAAATCGTGTTAAATGTACATGTTTTAAACCAGGTATTAAAGTTTAGAAAACATTCCCAAAACAAACTAGCTCTGGAAGGTAACCCTTTTCCTCAAATTATCTACAGCTTTTAAGGAAAAACAGCTGCAGGCACCAGAAACAATGCCTACCACATAATAGATACTCCTTAAATATTTGTTGAGTGGCCCTAGCTGGTTTGGCTCAGCAGTTAGAGGTCAGCCCGCAGACCAAAGAGTCGCGGGTTCAATTCCGGTGTAGGGCACATGGGCACATATCGGTTGGTGTTCAGGCCCTGGCCCTGGTCAGGGTCATGCAGGAGGCAACCAGTCAATGTGTTTCTCTCACATCGATGTTTCTTTCTCGCTCTCTCTCCCTCCCTCCCTCCCACTCTATCTGAAGATAAATGAGGGGAAAATGTCCTCGAGTGAGGATTAAATAAAATATATTTGTTGAATGAATGAACTGAGAGAGACTGTCTCGAAGTTGAATGTTATACAGGTTCTTTTGGAGGGTTTTAAATCAGCCCATTATGATCTGGAATTTTACATTCTTTACAAGATGCTAAAGAAACCCCTGAGCCTTTGCAGTTTCACAGGGCCTAAGCAAGACATTTTACTGGGCTTGTTCTTCACCCAAAACATATTGAGAAGGTGGCACACAAACTGATCTACTTCCTATCCTATCATACCTGGGCCACAAAAACTAAGAGAAGCATAACCCCCGTTCCACTGTTGACGGGAACTAACCTAATACATGGATTATCTATAAAAGTGACTGTAAGCAAATGTAAAAATGTAAATTGTAAAACTGCTTACCAAAATTGTAGTAAGTAAATGTAAAAACTTTGTCTCAAAACAGCAGCTGACAGCTCTGGCCAGTATGCTCAGTGGTTAGAGTGTTGGCCCTAGCACAGAAGGATGGGGTATTCAATTCCTGGTCAAGGGCATGTACCTGGGTTTAGGGTTTGATCCCTGGCCCCGCAGGTTGGGGAGGCAACCAATCAATGTGTCTCTCTCACATTGATCTTTCTCTTTCAGTCTCTCTCTCCCTCCCCAATATACCCCCTTCCACTCTCTAAAACTCAATGGAAAAAATATCCTCGGGTAAGGATTTAAAAAAAAAAAAAAACCCAGCAGCTGACAAAAATTGATGTTGCTGAGAGATTTCAGTACTGATTACTCACAACCCTCTAGCTCCAGCCTATGCCTCTCCTATGAGCTTCAATTTTAGTAATCACTAAAATAGCTATCATTTATAGAGTACTTACTCTGTATGTAGCACAGGTCTAAGCAGTTTACATATAAATTCACTTAATTCAATCAACAATCTTATGAAGGTCATAATTGACTCCATTTTACAGGTGATGAAACTGAAGCACAGTGGTAAGCCCTTTACCCAAATCACCTTCCCTTCGTCAGGTTACATGACTACTAAATGGCCAGGTTGGAACTCTAGCCCAAGCAGTCAGGCTCCAGAATGCACTTCTCAATCAGTGATACACAACCTCCTCGTCCAACTGCCTGACGAAGACCTTACAGGTTTTTCAAACTCAACACATTTAAACTTGACTCATCTCCCTTCTACCTGCACTCTAACCACAAAATTCACCAACGCCAAAAAGTTCGAAGTAGTCCCTCCCTTTCCTTCATTCTGTACCCCACCGCCACGAAAAGCTGTCGATTTTGTTTTGTTAACATAAATGGATCTAGTTTAGCTCCTCATCTTTCGACTAAATTATGGAAACTGACGTTTAGTTCGTCTCCTCGCCTACAATCTTGCCACTTGGAATCCATCTCTCGCACTACAATTAAAAGAATCCCTTCTAAACAGTTAAGTCATAGTTTCCAAGTAACAGCCTTTCCACCAAAACACCCAGAAAGACAAGAGATCGAATACGTGCCCCAAAAGCTCAAGGGACATAACGGTTAATTGCAAACAAAATTTCTTCCTGCTCATTGGTGAGCACAAGCGAACCCAGCCTCCTAACCCAGCCACCACGCCGACCTAAGCGCTCCCAGAAAGCAGAGCTCTTGAGGGTCGCTTGGACCTGAAAGTTCCGCCCCTGCTACGTCTCCATCACTCACTCGAGCCGGCGGTCCAGGGAATTTTTCTGACAAAAGCAACGGGCCGGCCAGCATTTCCCCGCAGAGCCATAGCGCCCCTCACTGCCGAAGCCGCCATTTCTAGAGGGCGGGACCACCGTGACCTGCGGTCGCGACCCCGGAAAGACCTGCGGGATCCGGGGCACGGGAATGTGCTTCCGGGTCAGAGGAGGCCGGGCGGCGTGATGGCGAAGATGGCGGCGGCGTTGGGCTCCGTGGCTACCCTGGCGACGGAGCCGGGGGAGGACGCCTTTCGGAAGCTTTTCCGCTTCTACCGGCAGAGCCGCCCGGGGACTGCAGACCTGGGAGGGGTCATCGACTTCTCGGCGGCCCAGACAACCCGCGGCACGGGTCCCGGGGCCCACAAGGTACGGAGAGGAGCGGCGCCCCTGCCCGACGTCTTGCCTCGCTTCTTGGAGGGTTTCAATGTCCTCCTCGCCTTATGCGATCCCTGCCCTCCGGGGGCACGGGACTGAACTGCCCACGAGACGTCACACTTTGGCGACGAAGAACTCTGCCGCTGGTTTCTCCACGCGGCCATTCGTAGCTTTGCGATCGATCAAAAAATGTCTGGGGATTGGTATTTATTCCTTCCATCAATGATTCTCTTGCATTTCCACTTTGATTGGGGCGGGGGGACGTAAACTACATTTGTATACGTTAGGGTGGCGCTCTGCAGCTTGAGAGGGACCGATTAAGCTGTTGGGGGTAAAACTGGTACCGGTCCTGTCTGGGCCTTGTAGAAAGAAGGCATTCAAAGATTCTGAGATGCCCTCTCTAAGTTGAAAGTAAAGAGCTAACGAATTCAAGTATCATCTTTTATTTCTACCTTTCCCCAAGGAAATTAAGAAAAATAACACGGAGGGAGACGGGGCCTGGGCGCAGGGGACACAGGGAGACTCACAACTATAGTGTAATGTATGTTTTCTTTACAGTTACTTTAGCATTGAGGATACCTGATCCCTTAATTTGCCCTTGGGATTGTCCACAGATGGTTGGATGAGGCATTCTTTCGAAGCTTAGTAATAGTTCTCAATAAAATTGGAATGCTATGACACCACCGTATTTGTCTAGAACTCAACTTCTTAAGTAACTTCATTTGTTAGCAAAAATGGTCATAGAGTTGCCAAAACAACATACAGAAAGTCTGCACCCCAAAAATAGTTTACTTGATTCATGGGAGAGCCCCTCAGACCCTCATTCTGCTACTTTTACCCATACTTGACCATATACTTACATACTTTTAGAATGTTAGTCACCTGAGAAGGGGACATTATGTCTAGCACATACCTAAAATAGTAAGTATTCAATAAATAAACCACTGAGTACATAAAAAGTTGGCTCAAAGCAGATTGGAAGTAGCAAACTAGAGAGGAAAGTTACTATTAAAAGACAGCTAATAAGACCAGTGGAGAAAGTTATGGCAACAGAAAACTCTTTAAAATTTCAAGGTTTGGCCCAGCTGGTGTTTCTCCTGGATTGAGCATTGTTGCATGGACTGAGAGGTCCGGGTTCGATTCCTGGTCAGGGCACATTCCCCGGCTTGTGGGCTTGGTCCCCAGTGGGGGGATATGCAGGAGACAGCCAATTGATGTTTCTATCTCTTTCGCCCTAAAACAATCAATGAGAACTTTTTTTTTTTTTTTAAAGTTCAAGGTTTGGTTCAGTTTAGCATATGATAGTTTAGGTCCACAAACTTAGTTTGAGGGTTTTGCTAAGTAATAGTGTACTATTAAATATGATCTATGTAAGAAATCATCACAAAATGTTTAAAATAAAAACGTTTTTATCACTCTTTAGGTACCTGGAAGAGTTAGCTTGGTCAGGGCTCTCAGAGAGTTCCAGATAGCCATTTTATTGTGTAGACTACTTATGCACCAGCCACTTGTTGTATTTTGTCTTGAAATCTCCAAACTCGAAGGTTAAGAGATTATATCTTTTTGTAAGAGAACATTTGCTGTATTCTAAAGCAAGCCAGATCTTCAGTGTATTCGTGGAAGATCAAAGTGTTTTTTTCTTTCTAGATGTCCTTACTGTGGGGACTGCATATTGGATCTCTTAACCAATTTGATAAGCCATCCATAAGATGCTCTACATGCAAATAAAACTTCATGAGCCTCTGAAAAACTTAGTTCCTAATTAATTAATAAAAGCAAGAAGTTCTGAGTTTCAGTTTGAAGTTTTATCTAAAAGAGAGCAAATATTGTTCTTTTAGCAAACAGGGTTTCTAATGTTATATTGATACACTGTTTCTATATAGCTAGAGTGCTCTCTTTCCTTTCTCTCACTCTCCCCAGCCTCTGTTTCCTCATAGCTCAGTTTTAACATCAACTGTATACAAATGCCTCAGAAGCATTATTATTAGCCCTAACTGAAATAAACAGCATTGTGACTCCGGGTATTCCAGTACACCAAACACCTTTCGTGATCAGAGCCCTAAAAGACATCACAGAGATGTAGTATCATAAGAATTATAGTCTTTAAGGTCAAAATCAGCCTGCTTCTCATTACAGCTTACCTACGTTCTGTATAGCTCTCTAGTGTTTGTTAGTACATGGATAAGGAAACTAAAGCTCTAAGAAGTTAACTTACTTATCTAAGTCTTACCTCAAGTAAGTGGTGGGACTAAGTTTAGAACTACAGACTCATGACTCCTAACTTTGCCCCATACCAGAAATGAATTTAGAGCTTTGAGGTTCTCAGACTTGACCTGTAAAATAACACGCCCTCTAACTTGTTTTTTTCCTGCCAGGTGGTCAGATCTCAGTTGAGTGTGTCCTCAGTCAGTGACCACGATGCACATAGAGCAGGACTTCAGCCAGTCAGCAAGTGGCGAGCTTATGGACTTGAAGGCTATCCTGGTGAGTGCAGCTGACCTAGAAAGTGAAATCAGTCATTTGTCTAATTTCAGAAGAGGAGCTAGTCAGTTGACAAAAAAGAAAAAAGCAAACACACAGAAATCTTCCCTCTCCAACCCCTCCTAAATTCTGTCTCGTCTGAGATTTCCATGTATTTAGCACTCCTAAAGGATAGAACAGGAATCAGTAGAGCTGCTTCTGTTGCAGAAGTGGCACACCAGACACTAATCAAAAACTAGGACTTTGACTGTGGGCTCCCTGTCACAACTCTGAATATCCACCTACTCTGGCAAAAGAACCACTTTGAGCGATAGAATAATTTATGATGGTCACTCCAGTTACAAAAATCCCTATATTCTCAAATGGCATAATAACAACTTAAAAATTATTGCTATCATTGAGACTTAATATTTGAAAAAAAGAATTACGCTTAATGAGATCAAAAGTCCTAAAATTTTAGTAGTGTTGGGTAGCTCACTTTGCAGATAAATTAAGTTAATAATGAAGAGTAGGTAATGTTATTAACCTTTCTAGGATCATGGGGCCATTGCAGTTATTATTATTTATATAAAATAGTTTCATATTTAAAAAATATTTTCAAAATAATATATTAATAATTTAATAATATTAATTATTCGAAATTATTTAGGAAATATGGAAATGCTTTATTTGGCCATATAATCTTATTTCTGTCATCCTGTTTCTTTCTAGAGGACATACACTTAACATTGCATTTGTGATTTCACAAAGGGATTAAAAGCAAGAGATACCCCTAAAAAGAAATACTAATTTTTGTTGTGCTAAGGGCCAAGTCTATGTTACAACTCTTGCTATAGTATGACCATAAAAGTATTTGTTAATAACATTTTTTTAATGTACTTATTGATTTTTAGAGAAAGAAAGAGAAAGGAACATCAGTGGGTTGCCTCCTGCCCACCCCCCAACTGGGGACCAAACCTGCAACCTAGGTATGTGCCCTGACGGGAAATCAAACCAATGACCTTTTGATGTACAGGACAACTCTCCAACCAATTAAGCCATACTGGCCAGGGCAAGGAGGTATAACAGTTTTAATACATCCTATAAAAGGCCTCGTGAACTCTAGTTCTGTATTAAAGAACTAAAAACTGGTCTTATGACTGAAATCACAAGGAAACAGTTGAATGATGGCCTTTCTATATGAAAACATTGCTCTCCATGAGTTTAGGAAAATGAGGAGCATGCATCATCATCAGTCTTTTCATCACTTTCTATTCTTGAAGGCTGCCCTTTGCCTTTCAGACCTAGCTGCTGTTTTACAGGCCATGTTTCTGTTACTGTGCCTTCTTCCCTTAACAGATTGTTCAGACTACAAAGTTATCAACCCCTTTTTTACAGTATACACTTGATGTATTATAGAACTGTACACCTGAAACTTAGTATAATTTTATTAACCAATGTCACCCTAATAAATTTAATTAAAAATTAAAATAAAATAAGTGAATATCCTGACTGGTGTGGCTCAGTGGTTGAGCACCGACCCATACACCAAGAGGTCACTGATTCGATTCCCGGTCAGGGCACATGCCCAGGGTGTGGGCCCGATCCCCACGGGAGGGCATGCAGGAGGTTGCCAATCGATGTTTCTCTTTCTCTTCTTCTCTCTCTAAAATCAATAAAAAATATTTTAAAAATAATAATAAATAAGAGGCATTATCTCCATTACTGTCACTACTCTCCTTTCTCCAGGTATTTCACGGAGGACAGAGTTTTTCATCTCTATCCCTAATGCTTAAGAAAGTACATAGTGTGTGCTTGTAGTGAATTAATTCTTGCCATGCATGGGATTCTAGTTAAGTTTTGTTATTCCTCTTTTACAATGGAGAAAAATGAGGTTACATTGCTTTCAAGGTCTCGAGGATCTTCTCAAGCATACATGCTGCAGGTATTTGCATTGTGCCATACTGAGCAGATGTACATACCATATTCCTTCCCTGCTGTTAGAGTCAGGAGACAGAAGTTCCACCAGTTATTTTAACTGATAATTTATAGAACTGTTAGCCAGAAAACAAAAGGCAAAAAGGGCTTACTGAGATATCAAAGGTAGTAACTGCAGACAGCAGCCACCACCTCTATACATGGTGACACCTGGTGAGAATTTGAGGGGTAACTTTTGGCAGTTTTAGTTCTAAAGTGTGCTTTGAGGTAACACAGTTGATAGTTGCAAAATGTTTGTTTTGCTTGAGAATAATCCCAAAAGCCAAAGATATTTGCGTAGTTAGTAAAAAGTCGAGTTTGATAAACACTAGATAAACTTATGTTTGTGTTTATCAAACTTGACTTTTTACTAACTTGAAGGAATTCCTCTTCCTCTAAAATTAGAGAATAGGATTGAGAACATTTGCTTATTAGTGTAGAAGCCACTGGAAGCATGAGCAAAAGAAGATGGAGAGTAAATAGTGAAGGAGAGGGTATAAGAAAGTCAACAGAAGTAAATTGTCTGAATAACTGATGGAGAATTTCCTTCTCTCCTTTCTTTCCCACTCATCTTTTGTATAGGATTTATTTTCATCCCAAATCCCTTCCTCCCAGGTTACCAGTGGCACTGGGTGAAGCAGTGCCTTAAGTTATATTCCCAAAAACCTAATGTATGTAATCTGGACAAACACATGACTAAAGAAGAAACCCAAGATCTTTGGGAACAGAGCAAAGAATTTCTAAGGTAACTATTCTATAACAATTTAGTGAAAGTAACTGGCCTGTTTTATTTTCCTCTCATTTCCACAAAAATGCAGCACGATTATATTCTTTCCTCCTGGAACATTCGGATAGATACTTTAACAGTTTCATTAAATTGAGATCCATTTTAAAGATTTGCTAATCATAGCTTAGATATCAAGTTCATCCTCATTAATCATCAGATGATTCATTTTCATTCAGCTTCAGCCCTTTTTTTCACTTAAAGTGAGTTCCTTTGAAGACTTATGATATCCTGGCAAAAAGTAACACTGACAGCTCTTTCCTGTACTTCTGCTCCAGATGAAGTCAATTATACTAGCTGTTTTATGGTAGGCCAGTTGTTCTTCCTGAGAACTAATGTTTGTACCTTAATGTTGTTTCAACACTCATTTATTCCACAAACATTTATTGTGGGTCAGTTGTATACCAGGCATGGTGCTGAGCATTGGCGATACAAAGATGTGTAGGGCACTGTCCCTGCACTCAGGAGTGCATAGTCTGTGGCAGGAACTCAGTATCAACAGGAATAATTATAATAGAGCTTAGCAAGAAAAATGATGTGGGGCCAGAGGAAAAAATTATTCTTTCAGGCAGGAAGGAGGTGTCAAAAAACAACAATGATTTTTTTAATTGAGTCCATTGGCTTCTTTTTTTTCCCTCTATTTGAACTGGTTCTTCAAAAATGATTAGGAGTTTAGCCAGTCAGAAAAGCAGAAACACTGTTCTGGGTAGAGAAAGCAGCCTGAACAAAGAGTAATATTTAAAACAGAGCAAGTTCTCTGTGAAACAGGATGTGTGCATTCATGTATTTATTCAACAATTACTGAGTTTCTGCCAGGTGTCAGATACTGTGTTTGAGTGTTTGAGATCCAAAGACAGATAAGATACTGTTGCTGCCTTTCGGAAATTCGTCAAGGACAGAGACGTACTATATAATACAATTTGGCAGGTACAGGGATAGAGTTCATAAGATACTATGAGAATGGTCATTTAGGTGGCTAGATTGGAGGTAGATTATGGAAAATGCTTCCTGGAAGTCATAGATAGAATTGGCAAGGGTGAAGCAGGAAGAGTAGGCTAGGGCCAGACTGTAAAGGGTTTAGTGCTGGATAGAGCACTAGTTCTAGAGTCGGATTGCCTGAGTTCAAATCCCAGCTCTGCCACTTAAAAGCTGTGTAAACTTGAGCAAGTTTCTTGACCTTTCTATGCCTCATAGTAGTCCTTTCCTCATTTAATAGTTTGAGGATTGAATAGGATAATTTGTGAGAAATCCTTAGAACAGCCTTTTAAAACCGTTATGCCAGTTTTGTATGTTCTGTTTAGACTTAGTAGTTCTAATGGTGCAGTTTGAGTGAAATTAGTCAAAGAGAGCTTAGAGTTTGTTATTAAATCAGCCTGTGTTTTCAAGTAATTGATTTTTTTCCTCTGAAAAATGACTGAGAAATTTTAGATAGGTCAGATAAATTTCTTTAATAAATCATCCTGTAAACAGTGGTGAGATAGTTTTGGGTTTTGGGGTGTTTTTTTTTGGTCTATATTATCAAAGATAAAAAACATCATAGTCATACCTTCTGTTATCAAGGATTGGAAGAAACTGATATGCCCAGACATTGCTGACAGCCTTGAAAATTGATTAGGGCCTGAGTTCTTCCCTCACTGTGTGATATGTGTTTGTTTCCTCTTGTGGGAAACAAAGGGGTTGCACTGGATAAGCAACTGAAGGTGGTAGGATCATGGTCAGTCGGCGTACATGCCAGCTCTCCCCACATTCCCAGAGCATGCCAGAAAGAGAGAGGGTCTGCGGGTCCAAAGGATTCCCCTGTAGATTCTGATTATCTACCATATCATCCACATGGAGAACCACAGAACTAGAGCACATCTAAGGATCCTTTGAGTTTCAACTTTCTGTGTTTCTGTGGTCAGGGAAAAAGAAACTTTAAGTAGGAAATGAATAAGAAATACTTGAACTTAGAAACAAAAATAGGTCTGCTCACAAAATTAAGGCGCCTCAATTCTGTGTTTTGTTCAGAATGTATTGTCAGTGATTAGTGTAGCTAGAGATTCTTACACAAGAGTATAACAGGTAGATATAAACGTCTTTATTGCAGCATTGTCAATAACTGGGGAAGAAATAACCTAAGTGTCAGCAGATCAGAAAAATCAGGCATGACAAACCCTAGTAGTAGAATGCAGCCATTAAAAAATCTTACATCCAACCCTCTAGCAAATATAGTAGGGTCTACAGATATAATGAATAAAATCATTTCTCAGCATCTCCATGACAACCACCTAATCTAAGGCACCATCATTTCCCTGTGCCTGTTCTTGTGCCTCTTTAGTCTGTTTTCAGAGCACAGAAACCGTGTGGACTCTTACAGCTTCTCATCAGTAGTACCATAGTTCAGTTCTCATACAAACCATCCAGAGTCAGCAGGGACATCACAAGTTAAGGGTGTGGTCCCCAACCAAATTGTCCTCACTTCAGACACCAACCACAAGTTTGGGAGATCCCCAGGTTACCCACACTTCTGACCAACTGGTTATAAATTTAGGGGAGTTCCCATGATTAACTTAGGTTCAGTAACTCTTGAACCACTCACAGATCAAGAAAACATTATGCTTATGATTACAGTTTTAGCATAAAGGTTACAAAACAGGACCATCCAATGAAGGGACACACAGGGCAATGTCTGGAAGGGTCCTGAATGCAGAACTTCCATATCTTCTTCCCATGGAAATCAGGATGGGTCATCCTCCCAGGAAGCTGTCCCAGGCCTTAAGCATGATTGATTGAATTATTAGTCACATAATTGAACTCAATTTCTGGGTCCCCACCTATTCCCTGACGTCTGGCTAATTAATATCACTACTCAAAAGGCTCAATCCTCTAATCAGATAGTTGGTCTTTCTAGCTTGACAAGCCTACATCTTGAGTCATTTTGGCATAAACTCAGGTGTGGTCCTGGGGCCCACAGTGAATAACAAAGACACTCCTGTCTCCCTAGGATTTAAAAGCTTTCTCCCAAGAACCAAGGGCAAAGGCCAGTCATATTCCTTGTTATACAATCTCCTTTCAGAACCAAGAGAATGTATTTGTTTGTTCTGGGGATTATATATCTCAAATTTCTTGTGCTTGCTGTAGCCACGCCCATTCTGGCCAACCATCTCTGTCTCCAGGTGTGATTGACAGGCAAGTTCCTTCCCTATGTCATCCCAACTTTACTGGGCATGCCTCTGTCTTCCCTTTGTTGGATCCCTCCCCCAGTGTTTTGCAGAGAACATGCCTATAATGTCTGGCCTTCCCTCTGCTCCTTCCCTATTAATAACTAGCTAATTACAATGGTATCAATTTGATCAGGCGGCTATTCTCATTGTCCTAGAAGGGAATAAGAGCAGAACTGAGAACTTGAGATGAATGGCAAAGGTTCAGAACAGAAGGTAGGAGATTAGATAAGGCTAAATATTTGCAAAATAGCAAAAGGATATTAGCAATTACGGTAGAATTTGATGTTTGTTTGCAGTGACTGACAGGGAGATGCAAGTGGAGAAAGGCAGCAAAACTGGAAGCACTCAAACACCAAAAAAATGGAGTTCTAGGCACCGGGGGTGGGAGTTTAAGACAGAAAGCTGTGGCTGTGAAGGGAAATATTCAGAGTCCTGAAAGACACAATTCCCAAGCCTTTAAAAATGATTGAAAACAACAAATATATACAATAGGATTTTGAAGTTTTGTTGTTTCAGACATTTCCTGACCTGAATACTTTTGCCTTCACAGTGATTCACTAATGTCCCTTGAGGCAAGAAAAAAAAAATGAGTGCTTAATTATGACACGCAAACTACCCACTTCTCAGAGGGTGGATAAGCAGGACAGGAGTTTGTTCCTACACTGTTAGGGTTTGGTTGAAAGCAGTGCTCTGCAACATGACTGCCGAGAGAGATGCCAGCACTTACATAAAGCACTTACACATGACAGAAAGTGAGCAAACTGCTGTGTGGGCACATTTACCAGGGCTGGAGGTGACCAGCCCACCCATCCGTCATCCTGCTAGTGCTGGGAGGAGCAGCAGGGGCAGGGAGCACAGCATGTTTCTGTTTGCAGTAAGAAGCAATAATTAGGGTCACACTTGCTTGAAAACATTCTTTTGGATAATTGGATAAAGATGTAAAGTTAGGTTAGGTGCCAGCATATTCCCTGCATTCCTATGGGTAGATGTGGCAGCTCTGTTGACACTGAGCCTTCTTGGCCTCCTTTTGCACAAGTCAGATTTAAAATGAGAACAGCTCACCCGACCCCTTCATTAATTTCTCAGTATTTTCTATTTGGAAGAGATCTGGTAGCCTGTTAAACTTGGTTTTGGCCTTACACTGTTCACAATGTTCAGGGGTGAGTTTTTTGGAATCTTTGTTACCCAAGAGGCCCATCGGCACCAGAAGGGTCCGTAAGGTAGTACTCAGACAAGAAATGTCTGGTGTTGGCCAGTTCTCTCACATCTGAAAGGCAAATGTTACAACAGTTATTGTTACTTTCCTTCCAGAAATTCTGTACAAAGGCAAGAAGTGAAATTAAGTTCTTAAAAGAAGATACAGCCCGCAGACCAATGAGTCATGGGTTCGATTCTGGCCAAGGGCCCGTACCTCAGTTGCAGTTCATCCTCAGCCTTGGTCAGGGTCTTGCAGGAGACAACCAGTCGATGTGTCCCTCTCACATTGATGTGTGTTCCCCCTCCATCTGAAGATAATAGAAAAATATCCTCAGGTGAGGATTTTTTTAAAAAGAAGATATAAAATGAGGGATGGAATCTTATACCTGGGTGGGTCTAATACATTACACAAAAATATATGTTAGTTAAATTCTTGAAATGGCACAGACATTCAGTGATCACAACATTTCTTTCACTAAGCAAATCCTTAGCTTTGTTTTTCTTTTTTGTCACGAGGACTGGGTTTCGTGCTTGTGAAAGTATGGCTCATCTCTGACTTCTTTTACATCCATGGACCAATCCTCCTTTATAAGGCAGAGTCCAAAGCCTTTCTTATAGTGATACAGTTAAGGTGGAAAAAAAGATGTTCTTTTTGCTTTCTAAAAAAAGAACTAAATTTAAAAAGACATATTGTAGGATGGTTCCATTCATGCTTGATTATTACTATAATTTATTTGCTACCATAAACCTATGTTAATTATGATAACGTGTATTCTCTTCTTGAAGAACATTAGACTGAATCTTTTGATGGAAAGATTGGTGCCTTATCAAATGTCTAAAATACCATCACCTTCTGAGCTATATTGTTATCTTTATTTTTTCAGTCTGGTTTTGATGTAATAGCATGGGTTCTAGAAAGAGATGGAAATGTTTATTTTGTTTTTTAATTTTGGCTAGAATAGTGTTTTTCATAGTGTGGTCCCCAGACCAACAGCGTCAACATCACTTGGGAACTTGCTGACTCAGAATGTATAGACATGGGCCCAGCGTGTGAATTTAACAAGCCCTCTAGGTGATTCTGATGAGTATTATTGTTTGAGAACCACTTGGCAGAAACTAGGGTACACACAGGTTCTGTAAAAGCTTTCTGTACAACTCTTTGCTATCCCCTGTTACGTCAGAGGTCCCCAAGTTCATTGATTCACCAGGAAGATTCACAGGGTTCAGCATATAGTTGTACTTATGGAAAAGATTATAGTGACAGAATACAAAGCAAAATTAGCAAAAGGAAAAGGACCTGGAGCAAAATCTAGGGAAAACCAGGCTTGAGCTCCCAGGATGCTCCCCAATAAAGTTTCACAAGATGTGCTTCACTGCCCCGCAACCAGTTGTGATGTGTGAAACGCTGTCTGCCAGGGAAGCTCAGTGCCCGGGTTTTCACTAGTGCTGGGCACATAGAGAGTCTTCGCCTAACACTTACCAAAATTACAGGCTCCCAGAAGGAAAGCAGGTGTTTGACATAAACCATATTGTTTGAACCAGCAGTGTGGGCTCCAGTTCTGAGTGGTGTGAACCTCCAAAATCCAAGTTCCAGCAGCCGGCCAGGGGCCAGCCTTATAAGCAGGCCTTTCAAAGAACAGCAGTCATATCTTCTCTGTCTCTTTTCCGTGTGGCTGTCCTAAATAAATTAGTGTTGTACTTCTTTTAGCTACTGGTCTTGATGTATGCCTGCGTCACAATGTCCTTATTAGAATGTAAACTTTGTGAGGACAGATAACATCCAATCTGTAAACTCTTTGTCAGACATCAAGATGGGTACCACTTAGAGTCTGAGCCTCTGATGAATCCTTTGCTTCTGCTCTTGCTGTATTCCTATATTGCCTACTGTATCACTCCCTGTTTAAAGGTTGGCCATTCTTCAGTGCCGTGCTTGACTCCCAACTCTGCCATAAAGCCTTAACTGATTAGACAGCTGACTTTGAGTTCTCCTTTTTCTTAATTATGGTGGCCCATAAACAGAAGTAGTTCTTGAACAAAACAAATTTATTTATTAGTGATGAAAATTACGTAGAAAAAAATAAACTACATAAAATGATTAGCCCTAGCATTCTTGTATTTTTAGATATTTAGAAGTGAATCAAACAAGTTTCCTCTTTAGAAAAAGTAGCTAATCTCATAGATTTGATTAGATAAGCTATTACAGAAAGGGCACTGCTATTTTACAAAACCTCCTGGGGTTTGAACAAGGATGTCAGAAACCAAATTACAGTGATCCTTAATAGTTAGCTAAGCTTCAGTTATCTAAGCTTTGTTATATAAGGTTAAAGAAGTCATGTTAACCCACTTATTGATTGTATACTATATTTTGCCAAACTTTCCCCAAACTGCAATTCTAGGAAGCCACCATCATTATAGACATAGTGGTAGCTGTGATTAATCATACACCACTTTTAAAAAACCAAACTGAACATGTTCTGTTAGCCAAATGTCAATTACCCATAGTGCTCTTGGTCCCATTTCTCATGGAAAGGGAAAGACATTTCTGTTGTCATTCTAGTTTTATCGTCACTGAGATGCTGGACACTTGCCATTTAAAACTGACCCTATTGAACAGAGGATTTAGAACCAAGGATAAGAAATTAGAAATGCTACCATGTTTTTTTAGTGTTAATATGTTCTTGATCAACTCATTTATCTGTTCTAATTTCCCCAATCAAGATCTTGACTAAAAGCTTATACAGCTTATACCATAGAACACCAAATTTAGACTCCAGGGTCCATACAAATGGCTACTGATACCATTTAAGATTAATGAAGTTTTAATAAATTCTTGTGTCTAACTTTTGCAGATACAAAGAAGTGAATAAACGGAGACCCCGAAGCTTATTAGAGAAACTGCGGTGGGTGACCCTAGGCTACCATTATAACTGGGATAGTAAGGTATTCAGATTTTCTTGCTAATTCCTTTTTTTTTTTTTTTTTTTGGTACGTGTCCCTTGCAGGAACCAAACCCAGACCCAGGACTCTCTGGTCCGCAGGCCGATACTCCAACTGCTGAGCCAAAATGGCCAGGGCATTGTATTTCATTTTTATGCTTCTCGGGCCCACAGTGGGATTTCTTCCTGGCCAGGCTTACAACACCATATTATCCATTTACAGAAGGATCTCTTTTATTTATTCCCTCCTAAAATCCCCTTGACATAGTATCTCAAGAGGCAAGGATAATCTTTCAAGAGAAATTTCTTTGTATGCCTTCAGGTTATATTATTGTATCAGAAGTCATCAGTGCTTTTTCTAAGTAGGTTTCGGGGATATAGAAATTTTTATACTATGTTCAAGAGCAGTCGTCAATTGTCTTTATTTCCATTTTTGTTTAGTGTTTGTTGAGCATTTATTTTCTACAAATATCTACCTGGAGTAAAACACAATCCATACACTTCTGGTGTTCTCATCAATTCACAAAAGGGCTTTCAGAATCTAAAAACCTCTGCCCATTATATAAGGTCTGAGCAGGAGAGATGTGGGAAAGAATGTCCTAAAGTTAACGAAGTTCCACGGTGGGGTTTTTTGAAGTACAGTTTCTTTCCTGACCTGTATGCTTCAGAGAATACCTCCTTTATCACTGACAGCCAGTGCCTCTTGGGTCAGTGAGATATTTGCCACCAAGTTAAAGGACTGATTCTGAGAGTGAACTGAACAAAACAGAGTGGAATAGACAGTCTTGCTTCTAACCACTTACTTTCTATTTTTTTTTTTTTTTTTTTTTATCCTCACCCTAGGACATTTTTCCATTTTTTGTTCAGGTAGAGTGGGAGGGAGAGAGAGGAACAGAGAGTGAAAGGGACACATCGAGTGGCTGCCACCCGCACGACCAACCAGGGCCGGGGACAAACTGCAACCGAGGTACATGCCCTTAGCGGGAACCGAACCCGGGTCTCTCCAGACCGCAGGCCGACACTCTAACCGCTGAGCCAAACCGGCCAGGGCTAACCACTTACTTTCTAAAAGCTCTATAGTTTCTGTCAGCCTAGCTCATTAACAAGTATGTTAACTGATCAAAATTATGATGTGTTGCCCAAAAATATTCACGATATAATTCTTATTTTCAGTCATACCAATTAATGGAAAACTAGATATCTGTATTTGGGGAAATGGCCATGTGATTTTCTTCAGGTTAGATAACTGGGGTTTGAATCATGCCTTCAACAAGGGTAGTGCCTACCTCATAAGGTAGTTGTGATTAATTAAATAATGAATGCCTATGTAGAGATTACAACAGTACCCAGCTGTTCTAAGCAGTTAAATGCATTAACATAATAAATGTTAGCTGATTGTTTTTTATGATATTTTTATTGTTGACACTGTTATTTTCCAAGGACCTCAAAGCGAGCCTCATTTACTTAGAAAAACATGGAGTGAAAATTATCAAAAACTCTGAGTAATCAGAGAAAAGTAAAAGGGAATTAAGAAAGAAGAGTAGTGCATAGACAGCTTGGAGAGGGTTCAAAGCCAAAAATGTAATTATTTTCTTGTAGCAGAGGTGATGCAGTACTAGGATAGCGGCTCTGAGTGGAACTCTTTTTATTTGCAGTTCAGGAAAAGCAGAAGGAACTGGGAGATTCCAACTGAATAAGACTTTTTCACAAAAGTCTTCCTGAACCTGAAATTAAAGCTCACTTCTGGCCAAAGTAAATACATTCTCTCAGAGCTGTGACTCTTGCTCCAGCTAGAATACATCAGGACACTAGAGGAGATGTGAGACAGAAGTGGATTTTCTAACCAGATTTGAGGTTGATGGGGCAAAGGGAGAAGTGAGAGGGGAGCATCAAGACTAAGGAAGAGTGTCAGGCTTACCCAGCCAGAATGCCTCTCCAGCTTGTCTGCATGTCAGTCTCAGGTAGTGTATGGGTTTTGTAGAGATAGTGAGTGTGCTGGCCTTTGTTTAAGAGAAAAGGTATGCTAGTGTTCTTTAGATGCTAAAAATAGAGGCAGTTCAGGAAAGTAAGTACTAAAAATTACTTCCATTTTAAGGTCCCGCCTTGAGCACAGTTTAAGTTGGTTTCAATTCAGTAGTTTTGAGCATGTCATCCCATCAGTTTGACCAGTGAAATCAGCAGTAAATCATGTTGCAGGCTGAGGGGTCCAAAACCAAACTGGCAATAGTATTTGAGTTCCTTTAAAAAAAAATTGTATTTTAGGATAGTTTTAGATTTACAGAAAAGTTGAAATGTAATGTATACAGAGTTCCCATATACCCCGTACCTAGTTCTCCCTATTATTAACATCTCACATTAGTATGGGTACCTTTGTGTCAATTAGTGAACCAATATATACATTATTATAATAGTAAAGTCCATACTTCATTCTGATTTTCTGGGGTTTTGTTTTTTGTTTTTGTTTTGGTACGTGCCCCCTAGTGGGAACCGAACCCGGGACTCTCTGGTCCGCAGGCCGATGTTTAACTGCTGAGCCAAATTGGCCAGGGCTGATTTTCTGTTTTTAACTGTCCTTTTTCTGCTCTAGGATACCACATTATATGTACTTACTATGTTTCTTCAGGTACCTCTTAGCAGAAACTGTTTTGAGTTACTTTTTACCCTAAGACCGTGGTTCTCAACCTTCCTAATGCTGTGACCCTTTAATACAGTTCCTCACGTTGTGGTGATCCCCAACCATAAAATTATTTTTGTTGCTACTTCATAACTGTAATTTTGCTACTGTTATGTCTTCGGTGACCCCTGTGAAAGGGTCGTTCGACCCCCAAAGGGGTCGCGACCCACAGGTTGAGAACCGCTGCTCTAAGAGAACGATCCTGTTTGGGATTAAAGGACAGTAGAGAGTTACAGTTATTGCTTCATGTGTAGACTCGCTGCAGGGTGAATTTGTTAATTGATCACTGCATCCCAGTGTATTTTGAGTGGTTATTAGATTACCAGATGCCTCAAAATATGGATGGATAAATCATTCTATGCTAATATTACACATAAGCAAGATGATTTTTAAGTGGTAATTAATTTTACACCACAGTTTTCTATTTTCCTGAGATCATTGTTTATTTTTCTTATTTTTCCTACTTTTATTAAAGAAATACTCAGCAGATCATTATACACCTTTCCCTTCTGACCTGGCTTTCCTCTCAGAGCAAGTAGCTGCTGCCTGTGGATTTCAGGGTTTCCGAGCCGAAGCCGGTATCCTGAATTACTACCGCTTAGATTCTACGCTGGGGATTCACGTGGACAGATCTGAACTAGATCACTCCAAACCCCTCCTGTCGTTCAGGTAAATTCGTTCTAGATTTGGGATTACTTTTTACCACCTCATTCCTCTTCCTGGAGCATTTTTAAACTAAACTAAAATAAAAACATCAAACTTCTAAAAAACGACTAGACTCTAACCTCTCACTTCTGGCTGTTTTAACAATGTATGTAAGTAAAAAAAAAAATTAGCCTAGTCCTTTTAAGAGTAGTAACCAAATTACAGTTAGTATTTCTGTTTAAGATGCTTGGAGTCTGCCTTTTGTAATGAGAGGTATTGTCAGTGTCTGTGGAATAGGCACGTGGAAGGCCAATACCGCAAAGTCAGCATCTGCTTTGGAATAGAGAAGAGCAAAGCACAAAAACCTGAACGGTTTCTTGGCTCCCTAAATAAGTTTAAATTTGTGCAAAGTACTGTACCTGATTCGGAAAAAGAAAGTACCTGAGCAAAATGTTTTATTACTACCTTATCTTTAAAGTGAACAGGAATGATAAATATAGTAAAGGGCTGGAATACAGTAGTCCCCTCTTATCTTGGGGATACATCCCAAGACCCCCAGGAGGTACCTAAAACCACAGATAATGCTGAACCCTATATATGCTATGTTTTTTCCTAGACATGCATACACACCTATGATAAAGTTTAACATAAATTAAGCACAGTAAGAGATTAACAACAATAAATAATAAAATAGAACAGTTTAACAATATATTGTAATAAAAGTTACATGAATGTGGTCACTAGTTTCAGGGCATCCCTAGTCGAAGTCTGTACAGGCTCAGTGCTTTTGGGTGCAGCACGTCGCTGTCAATCAGAACACATTTTCAGTGCATGTCTTCCACCTACAAATCTGGTGCCTTTCCATCTTCATAGGCACTTACCATGCACTGTGGCTGTAACCAGCAGTTTGGGGTGCAACAGCAAAACTAGCACAAGTGTCTTCCTTCTTTATAAGTTCATGGATAGATTTGTTCTGACTGTATATCTTAGCAACTTTCATATAGGTTTTTTTCTTTTTAAGTAAAAAACTTACACCTTTTCACTTACAGATTTGTCTTCCACCTACAAATTTGGTGTATCTGAATTGCCAGCATCACTACTCTTGCTCTTTGGGGCCCTTATTAAGTAAAATAAGGGTGACTTGAACACAAACACTGCAGTACCATGACAGTTGATCTAATAACTGAGACAGCTGTTACCAAGTGACTGTGGGTGGGGAGCATGTACAACATGGATTCGCTGGACAGGGATAATTCGTGTCCAGGCTTCATGGAGCAGGACACTGTGAGATGTCATCACACTACTCAGAACAGCACATAGTTTAAAACTATGAATTGGCCCTGGCCGGTTTTGCTCAGTGGTTAGAGCATCGGCCTGCGGGCCAGAGAGTCCTTGGTTCAGTTCCCACTAAGGGCACGTACCTTGGTTGCAGTTTGTCCTCGGTCCTGGTTGGGATTGTGTGGGTGGCAACCACTCGATGTGTCTCTCATGTCGATGTTTCTCTCTCTCTCCCTCCCCCCCTCCCGCTCTATCTGAAGATAAATGCAAAAATGTCCTCAGGTGAGGATTAAATAAAATTTTAAAAACTTATGAATTGTTTATTTAACAGTTGATTTCTGGACTTGTTTTTTGTTTTATTTAATATTTTTGGACCACAGTTGACCACACTGGATAAAGTGGATCTACTGAAAATTTTTTTAAATTGATACCCAGGAAATATTTTTATTGGTTTGGGGGGGGACGGGGGGAGAGAGAAGTATCGATCAGTCACCTCCCATACGTGCCCCAACCTGCAACCATTTTGGTGTATGGAATGATGCTCCAACCAACTGAGCCACCAACCAGGGCTTTATTTTATTTTTTATTTTTTGGAAGACTTAAATCTTAATGATTCATCAATAAAACTTATATGTAATGTTAAAACTAAATTCTTATTTTGCTTATTTAACTGCTTTAAATTTTGTTTCACTGCAGTCCTGCAGGCTATAAGTTTAAGTGGCAGGTCTGGGTTGGTCACTCATAAACACAAGCCAGAGAATTTTAGCAGTTTAAAAAGGAAGATTTAGGCCCGACCAGGTGGCTCACTCAGTAGATTGAGCATCATCCCAGGGACTGAGAGGTCCTGTTGGATTCCCAGTCAGTGCACATACCCAGGTTTCGGGCTCGATCCCCAGTAGGGAGGCATCTAGTCAATGTTTCTCTCTCACATCAATGTTTCTATCTCTCCCTTCCTCTCTTTCTAAAAAATCAATAAAAACGTATTTAAAAAAAAAATTTTTAAGGGAAGATTTAGAAGCAATAAGTATTGAGCCTAAATTAGAAAATAATGCAGTTAGCAGTAACTTTGCCAACCACGGTTAGTAACAGAAACTTACTGTTATGTATTGTTTTATTTTTTGTAGCTTCGGACAGTCTGCTATCTTTCTCCTGGGTGGCCTCAAAAGAGATGAAGCCCCCACGGCCATGTTTATGCATAGTGGTGACATCATGGTAATGTCGGGTTTCAGCCGCCTGTTGAACCATGCAGTTCCAAAGGTCCTTCCAAGTTCTGAGGGCGAAAGCCTGCCTTGCTGCCTAGAAACACCTCTTCCAGCTGTCCTCCCCAGAGATGCGGTGGTAGAGTGCTGTTCTGTGGAGGACTGGCAGGTGTGCGCCAGCTACTTGAAAACTGCTCGTGTTAACATGACTGTCCGACAAGTACTGGCTACAGACCAGGACTTCCCTTTGGAACCCATGGTGGAGAATAAAAGAGACATCACCACAGAAGGTTTCTGCCATCTGGATGACGAGAATAGCCAAGTGAAACGAACTAGGTTAAACCCTGACAGCTGAGGCTTGGAGAGCCCATTCTTTTGCTTAGGCAGGTCTTAGAGTAAATGACATGCTGTTTGTATTGCCATTGACTTCAGCACCAAGACAAGCCAAAAACAGAGACAGGGAAAAACTCATCATCGATCACACTGTTGCCTTGGAACCCATTCTGAAGAATAAACTGATACAGAACGAGTAAACTGACTGATCCCATACATCAGTGCCTAACCAGGACTGGACCAGACATTTTTGGCATGGCCTAGTCCTGCTTAGGCGCTGATGTATGAGAAGTCCAAGGAGGTACGACATTCCACAACAGCCTTCGCAGCCTTGCCAAGACCTCTGAGGGAGGTAGAAGTGAGTTTCCATGTCTGTGGAATCTTTAGATACCTCAGATTTTATTGATGGGAAACATAATAGCCCTCTCTCCAGCCCATCTAGTGATTTTGTGAAAAAATTGTGGTTCCATGAACTAAGCATTAGTCTCGCTTACTTCATTCTTCCAATTAACATAAAATCTTTTGATCTTCCCTCTTTTTTGGCCTTCACAGAAGAGACCTATACATAATAAGACAGTGGAAATGGAAATCTCATCCCCTAGAAAAAAATTAATCACAGCCATCTCTCTTGCCTAAAAGGTAAATATTTATAAACCCGAGGAAAAGGAATGGTAGTTTCTCCAGATGTCATTTAGGCCTCTAAACTCTTGCTGTTGGCTTTTCAATACACTTTTATTTGTTGGACTAAAAAAGTCCCAAGGATGTTCTATAACTGTTTTCTCCGTGATTACACTTGATTTTAAATTAAAGATCTGTATCTGTCTTAGAGGGTTAGCGTATCTGGGATTAGTTTTTCTCTATTTCTGCTTGCTGTATTCTTGCTACTGAAGCCCTCTAGCTGCCCCTGCCCTACACCATCCTGCTCTGCCCTAAGTATTCTTTGTGGCTGGCTCAGAGGAGAGAATACTCCTTGATACCCCAGTAACTGCTGTTCTTTATATTGTAGACAGCTTTGAAAATTGTTTTAATCTTTGTACCCCCACCACCTCAACTCGCCATACCCTGAGCTAAGTTACTATACATTTCTCTGGACTTCAGTTTCCTCACTCATAAAATGAAGATAATATATTTTTTTTAAATGTGTGTTTATGGATTTTTTAGAGAGAGAGGAAGGGAAAGAGAGATAGAAACATTGATGGGCTGCCTCCTGCACACCCCCCACTGGGGATCGAGCCTGCAATCCAGGCATGTTCCCTGACCAGGAATCGAACCGGGACCTCTCAGTCCATGGGATGACTCTCAAATCCACTGAGCCACACTGGCCAGGCTGAAGATAATATTTTTTTAAATCCTCACCTGAGGATATTTTTCTATTTATCTTCAGATAGAGTGGGAGGAAGGGAGAGAAAGAGAAACATCGATGTGAGAGGGACACATCAACTGGTGGCCTTTTGCACAGCCCTGACCAGGGACAAACCGCAACCCAGATATGTGCCCTTGACTGGAGACTCATTGGTCCGCAGGCCGACGCTCTAACCGCTGAGCAAAACTGGCCAGGGCAGAATGAAGATAATATTTACTCCCATCTTCCTAGAGGGAGATTGATATTTCAGATGATACTGGGAATTTAGTACTTCCTTCTAGAAACATCGTGTCAATGTTTTATTTCTGTTTGGACTCTTAGAAACATCCCACTTTACTTGTGTGGATGATTGGCTGAAAGTTACTTTGGATAACTGCTGCCTGCAACATGATTTGCTGGATTTTAATTTCTCCTGTGTCTTTTTTTTTTTCCGTATGAGCATTGAACATTGAGTTCATATTATAATCGTTTTTTAAGGAATAAAAAAATAGTCATCCTTATGTGTAACTAGGTTCTAAAATTAGTACATTATAGGACATTTTTATATAATTTAAATTACCACTGGAAAAATCCCTTAAATTTTCCGTAATGCAGATTATATGTGACCCACTGGAAACCAACATACCACTGTTAAATAAATTCAGCAGTGTCTACTTACCTTCATCATTACAGTAGGTTGCTCTTTATTCCAATGAATGTCACATAAAGGTGTTGACTTGTGTTCAGGGGCAATGTTGTGCAAACTGTAAAGTCACACTCCATGAAGCAAGATGTGTATGCCATGTGGAAAATAAGGCCAGCCGATCACTGGCAGATTCTTCTCCCAGCCCGAGCTCCCTTTTTTGTAGTTGTCTGCCATTCATTCTCTAAGTGTTTTTTATACTGCCCACGGACTAAGAATAGTTTATATATTTCTACATTGTTGGGGGGGAGGGGATAAGAGGAATAATGTTTTGTGACACATGAAAATTATATGAAATTCAAATTTGTGTTCATAAAGTTTGATTGGAACATAGCCACACTACTTCATTTGCAGATTGTCTGTGGTTGCTTTTATGCTAGAATGACAGTGAAGGCATTGCATCAGAGACTGTAGCCTGCAAAGCCTAAAAGAAGAATCTTGCCTCTTACAGTAAACATTTGCCAACACCTAGAAAAGAAACTAGACCCCTCAGAAAGGAACCTGACACCAGAGGAAGGGACTAGAGTAAGACTTCCTTTTTATTTATTTTTTATTATTTTATACCAGAAATGCCAGAGTGTGATCTAGGATGTATGTGGCCTCAAGAGAGGAGTCACAAATGTGAGGCCTGGGGAAATTGGTTCTCGGATACTCTCTAGTGGGAATGGAGTGGCTGTGACCTCTAAAGCACAGTTTGAAAGTATGTTAACATGTAATTCTACATCCCAGTGACCAGGGCAGCCCGAAGTATGACCCCTTTTTCTCTCAGAAGTGATCAGGTTTGATGATGGTCATCCTAATTATGTTTTAAAATGTGTATTGTACCACTTGACCCAATAAATTTTACTTCTAGGAGTTGAGTCTAAGGAAGTAATTAGAGGTACCCACAAAATCTTTGTGTTGTAATAGCAAAAGTTTGAAATAAGCTTAATATCCAGCAACAAGAAGTTGGTTGATTTAATTTGTGTGTTCGTTCAATAAATGGTTATTGAATCCTGTTCTTTATAGGAGGTACTGTTCTTTGCACAAAGTGCCTTTGTGACACTCACAGCCTAGTGGGGGTGACGTGGGCATGCAGTGGAAAACTAGCCTTTACAAGTCATGTTTTGGAAGAACAGATAGAGAAGTGACACAGTACACAATATTGAATAAGCAAATCCAATTTTGAAACTGCTCAGTAACCTAATTTTGTATAGAAGTTTTACATATTTTAAAAACTAGAAGGAGCCTGGCCAGTGTGGCTCACTGGTTGAGCATCGACCCATGCACCAAGAGGTCACCGGTTCGATTTCTGGTCAGGGCACATGCCCAGGTTGTGGGCCTGATTCCCGGGGTAGGGGGGATTTAGGGGATATGCAGGAGGCAGCCAATCGATGTTCTCACCCATCGATATTTCTGTCTTTTTCCCTTTCTAAAATCAATAGAGAAAAAATATATTTTTTAAAACCACAATTTAAATTTATAAAAATAAACTAGAAGGATGTGTATAGCAAAATGTGGACAATGATGGGATTATAATTGCTGTTTATTTTATTTGTGCTTTCTTATATTTCTGATTTTTTAAATTGAAAGTTTTTTGTTTTGTTTTTTTACGAATAAATGTTGGGTTTTTTATTTGTTAAGAAGTACTCTGCCCTGGCCGGTTTGGCTCAGTGGTTAGACCGTCGGCCTGCAGTCCAGAGAGACCTGGGTTCAGTTCCTGCTAAGGGCACATACCTCAGTTGCCATTTGTTCCCAGTCCTGGTTGGGTCGTGCAGGTGGCAACCACTCAATGTGTCCCTTTCACGTCGATGTTTCTCTCCCTCCCACTCTATCTGAACAAAAAATGGAAAAACGTCCTCGGGTGAGGATTTAAAAAAAGAACCTGGAATTAATTCTACCTGTTCCTGAAATTTCTTAGCATGCAAATCCGGGAACATCAGCATTGTCTAACAAAAGGGGCTTGTTTGATGCAATTATTTTATGTAATAAAATACTACACAGCCACTATCAATCATGTCTTAAATATATACGTAATCATTGGAAGAAGTGCTCTCTGTTAACTGAGAAAAACTGCTTTAAGATGTCATGTACAGCAATTTGCCAGTGTTCTTGTACGCAGTGTGCACATGCACAGAAAAGGCTGAGGGTCATAATATTATATTCCAAATTCTCTATAGCGAGCATATATAGCTCTTTTGAAAAAGGCCTTTGTGATGTTTTTGAAAGAGTAAGGCACACACTGAGCTCAGCAGCAGCAGCATCTTTATAAAGTGTCCACCCACCTTTCTAAATGTATGCCCTCATCAGTTGTATTCCAGTCTGAGGTCCTTTCCGTCTCTCTGTTCTTATTGCTTTAAAATATGTCTGGCTAAGATGGACCTTCTAACTACTCTTTGCTTATTATTTGAGAGCCTCTTCCTGTTTCCAGCACCCAACATCAGGTTTTTCCTAGAAGGATCCCAGGCCCTCAGTGAGACATGGATATATTATTGCTGAGCAGGACAGGCTCAGCAGGACTTGGCTCGCTATGTTCCAATTTTCCCAATTCCTTTTTCTCTAAAATAAGCTGCTCTTACCCCTTTTCTCTCTTCCCTTAATCTAAAAGGTTGGTTTATTAGAGTAGGGAAAAAAAAATCCCTAATACCCTAAGTGGATTTGACTAAGGCAAATTAGAAAGGTAATGAGGCAGAAAGTAGCCCAGGGAATGATTATCGATCTCAGCATGACTGGGGCTAGAGGAGCTAGGCAGGAAAGACACCCCACCTGTTTTCTTCTATTTCACAGGTTACCGTGCAAATCTATTTTCTTAGCCTGGGTAGTAAATTTTTATTGACATTTGTTTTGATCAACTATTCTATCCAAATTTGAGTCCTCATGGGGCAGAGTTTGTTGGGTCTCATTTTGTTTTATTGGTAAAAACAGAGTTCTTAAGATACAATGATACTGTCGATGGAAAGTGAAATAGAGTGGTTATTAAGAAAGCTCAATTTTAGTAACAGCTCCAATACTTTCCTGTGTGCCTTGAATAAGTCACTCTGAGCCGCAGCCACCATTTTCTTTATTTTTATTTTTATTTTTATTTTTTTATCCTCACCCGAGGACATTTTTTGTTCAGATAGAGAGGGAGGGAGAGAGAGAAAGAGAGAGAGAAACATCGACGTGAAGGGACACATCGAGTGGCTGCCACCCACACGACCAACCAGGGCCGGGGACAAACTGCAACCGAGGTACGTGCCCTTAGCGGGAACCGAACCCGGGTCTCTCCGGACCGCAGGCCGACGCTCTAACCGCTGAGCCAAACCGGCCAGGGCCGCAGCCACCATTTTTAAGCCTGGGTTGCTTGTCTGTAAGGAGGTTTTACCAAGTAATCCTGTTACCAACTCTGCAATGCTTTCTAAAATGAGAAATTAATCTCAGAGTTTGGATAAATAGCAGAGCTACCCCATGGGCAAAATTTTTGATAAGGAAATCAAACATAAAACAAAACTGGAACTCAGAAAACAACATGAATAGACAGTAAACATGGGAACAGATGCTAACCTCACTAGTAGAGAAATACAAATTAAAACATGAGATATAAATTTGTATCCATTCATTTCTTAAAACTAAAGAAATTATAATCTCTTGATTACTGTCTCACTCATACCCTACTTCTAATCCCACAGTAAAGGTTGACTCTACCTTTAATGTAGCCAGACTCTAACCACTTCTATTCACCTCACTGTTACTGCACTGGCCCAAGTCACTACGATCTCAGCTGGTTTATTGCAGTACCCTCCTAACTGACTCCTTGCATGCTTGTCCCCACTGCCTACCCCTGTAGTTTATTCTTAACATAGCAGCCAGAGTGAGGCCATTAACACCCAAGGCAGATTATGTCACTTTCATGCTCAAAACTTTCTAATGTCACTGCTAAGTCCAAGTCTGAGTCAACGCCAAAGTCCTTTTCAGTGGCCTGCAAGTCCCTGCCCAGTCTGACCTCCATTTCCTCTTGGTTCTTTCACCAACTCTGTTCACACCACACCTCCTTGCTGCACCTCTAAACGGACCAAGCACGTCCCTA